TCTTTCCCGTAAAAGAAGTAAATGTATATATTATATATTTAATTGGTATTTTAGTAGGTAATTCTCATAGGACTTAGACAAGAAAAGCATATGAGCTTGAAGTGTATGGAAGAGAGGTTTGATGGTGGGTTTGGCATTGACTATAGTAGGAGTATAGTAGATTGGACTATGGAACTCTGGATAATAGAAAATTGCAATAGAAATGAAACCATTTGATTGTTATTTATTATTAAGATATTTACGAGCACCTGCTTATTAAGACAGGCATTTGTATGCTGTAGCAATATCTTTGAGAGGTTATATTTCCATTGATATTAATAAATAAGGATATTACTGTCTCACTTACCTTCTTAGCCTCACCTTTTACCATTCTCCTTTAGTCTTTTAAAACTACTTATTTTTCAATTTTATTCTTTCTTGCCTGTGTGCCTTTGTAGGTACTCCTTTCTCTACTCAGAACTTTTCACTTTTCATAACTTTTCACATTTAGGAAATCCTTACCTGTTGTTCACATTTGGCTCAGAGTTCTGTCTTCTGGGAAGCCTTTTTTTTTTTTAAATTATTTTTTTTTGGGGGGGGTGCATCGTGTGCCATGCAGGATCTTAGTTCCCTGACCAGAGATCGAACCTGTGGCCCCTGCAGTGGAAGCATGGAGTCCTTACCACTGGACTGCCAGGGAAGTCCCTGGGAAGGCTTCTTTTAATTACATCTCTTATGCTCACATTCCCACAGCACCCCAACCTTAGAGTGGGCATGACACAAGGAGTATAGCTCAGTAGTCTGTCTTACTAGTCTGAACTCCAGGGCAGCTGTCTTATATTGCTGTCTTGTTATCTACAGCACTGAAAACAGTGCGTGGTACCTGGTAGATGCTCAGCAAATGTTCCATGGTGAAATGAATGTGGCAGAAGTATTTAACTAGATGGAATATATACAACTCTGTGTGTGTGTGCATGCACATGTGCATATATTTCTTTGTGTGTATATGTATAATGTACTTTGTGTTAAGATATATTACCAAAGGAAACATGTATCCAGCAAACATTCATTTAGGTGCTATAGAAAATAGTCGAAAGAAAATGCATTTTGTACCAATATATAACTTATAATTTAAGTATAGCACTTTGTAAGAAGTTCTGAATAAGAATTTTTGCCTTGAAGTTTTGACATTGGACTATGGATTTGGGGCTAACTATAGTATGTCCGTGGCATAGGTGACTTCAGAACCTTAACAAACCGTTCTAGACTTTCCCCCTGGTACTTACTATCACATTATTTAAAATTTTTCTATTTGACTGTATTGACTGGAAAACACTTTTTGTGATTTGTAATCCTTCTTTTTTCTTTTTTTATTGTAGTGATCTCAGAAGCTAGAAAGGCAAATCAGAAGATAGCTCAAGATTTCTTCAGAGAAGAATATATGCTGAACAATGCTATTGGTATGTGTGCTCTGCTGAGAGCTTTGAAAATGGAATCAAGACATAAGCTGCACAGTATGAATTGTTAAAATGTAATCAGCAGACGCTCTTGTTTAATCTTTTATATACTTTGTGCCAGGAATAAACTTGATTAAAGTAGTCTGACTGCTCATTCCAGAACAATTCATACTTGATTATTAAATAGGGTATACTTAACTACTATTTGCCATATAATCAATATGGAAACATGGATTCTGATCATATGGTTGGCTTTCTCGGAAAACAAAAAACTTGGGTGCCAGTTTTCTCTATAAAATGAAGTGTCATTTCTGAATTCTTGAGGAACTCTGGGATGAAATTTCTTTATAGTCATCATTCCAGATTTCATTGGAAGTGACACAGTAGTTACATTTATCAAGCATGTGTTTCAAATGTTAAATTACAGGGAATAATATAATAAATACTTGTGTACCCACCAGCCCAGAATGAATAGACCACTATATTTTATTTTTGCTTGATGTTTTGAAATTTATTTAAATTAAATAGAATACTATGAGTTTTAAAATTACTGTTCAGTCTACTTCATTGCTTGCTTCAGTGCCATTTCTTTCTCTCTCCAGAAGCAACCAGTATCCCTCCTCAGAAGCAACCATTGTCATTAGTTTTTAGCACATCCAGTTAGACTGTACTTTATATATATTTTTTACTACATATTTATGAACAAAAGTAGTATTACTTTGTTTTTGAAATTTGCATAAGTACTTTCTTACTGTGTATACCATTCCATAACTTTTTGATAACATGGAATGTAACTGTTCTTATATTATTCAATTACCCCATATTACTTAATCCATTCTATGTTAGTGGTTATTTTAGATTATTTCAGCTTTTTACTAATACAGATTGTTACACCCTTATATGTACACCCTTAGTGCCCATGTGCAAAAATTTCTAGAAATAATAGGAGTTGAATGGATGGATCATAGAGTTTGTGTATCTTCCGTGTGTTTCCAAATTCTTCTCTAAAGTATAAGACTTTACTTTCTACATGTCCTTTCTATCATTTTTTGTTTTTAAACTTTGCATGCCTTATATCTTATTGTGGTTTTAATTTGTACTTCATTGGATGCAGGTAAAGTAGAAGATGTTTATGTTAATCATTTATTTTTTCTTTTCAGTTTCATCCTTTGTTTATATTTCTTTTGGATTGTCTTTTTCTTACTGATTTTATAGGTCTTTATGTCTTCTGATTCTTCACTTTTGTAGGTCATATATATTATAAACACACTTCTCTCAGTCTGCTACTTTATCTTTTGGTATATACAAGTTTTTGTTTGAGATGAAATGTATTCATTCTTTTCCTTTATGATTTCTGCTATTTGCATTTAAAAAACGCTTAATAACATGGAGGTTTTTAAGATGTTCTTTTATATTTTCTTTTAATGGTTTGTTTCTTTATACTCTAAGTCTTTAAAGTGCTTGGAATTTTTTTGCATGTGACATCATCTAACTTTTACTTTTCAGCTAGAAAGCCAGAAGTTGTAATGCCTTTGACTGAATAGTCCTTGTTTTCCTCACTGGTTTTAATGGTACTTCTATCATATATCAAGTTCTTATATGTGACCAGGTCTGTTTCTGGGCAACTTTGTTCATTGGCCTATTTGTCTGTACATATGGTAAAACTACAGTGTCAGAATTATTATAGCTTTAAGATATGTCTCTCTCTGATAGGACAAGTTACCCTTGTTTTCTTTCAAGATTTTCTTGGCTACTCTTGATTTTTCAAATGAATTTAAAAAAAAAAATTCAAATGAATTTTAAAATTATTTTGATATTTAATAAGCTTATGCAGTCATCGCCATTAGTCAGTTTTAGAACATTTTCATCAGATTGACTTTCATGTCCTTTCATAATGTTTTATAATTTTCTCCATAAAGAACAAAAAAGATTTTTTAAGTGTTATTTTTAGACAGCTTATTTTTTTTGTTACTACATTTAATAGTAATTTTTCTTATTACATTTTCTAATTGACTATTTCTAGCATGTAGAAATGCTTTTGATTTTAGTATTTTGTTCTTACATCCAGCAACCCTGCTGAAATTTATTATCAGTTCAATGATGTTTCTGTAGGTTCTTTTGGCTTTTCTACATTGGTAATTCTACCATCTACACATAATTTTTTTCATTTCTTTCCAGTCTGTATACTTATGACTTTTCTTGTTATATTTTGTCTAGGACCTCTATTATAATGCTGAATGATTGTGGTGTTGTCTTATTTCTGATGTCCATGGGAAAGCTTTTAAAATTTCATTCTTTAGTATATAATCATTTTATAGACACTTTTTACCAAGTTACAGATGTTACTTCTATTCCAAATTTGTTAGGGGTATTTTCTTTTGTTTGTTCAGTTGTAGTGGTCCAGTGCTTGAGCATCCACTTTTCTGACTTTTTCTCTTCCTCTCATGAGCATGAGCTTACTGAGTTTTAGGATCAGCAGATAGAGTTTTTCTAGCTATGTTTTACAAATCGTATAGCTCTTCCTACCATGAGGCTTTATGCAGGTATTAACTCATAGTATGTTATGTGTGGCCCATGTTATTCCTGACTCAGAACAGATACACACACACACACTCACTCATAATCTTTGGCTGTAGCTGCCACACAGCTGTTAGCTCTGAGTTTATTTGTTTCTGGCACCTGAGGATTTCCCTTGTTTGGCTTTGAACTTGGATATACATTGAAAACAAAACTTTTTTCTAGAATTTTTATGTCTTTGAGGTAGGAGTGGGGAGACGAGGCTGTTTCCCAATTTAACTCAGTGAGCCACATTGAATGGAGAGCTCTCATTTCTTTGAGTCTATAATTCTACAGATCAGGTTTTACTTAGGATGCTTTATTCATTCTAAAAATTCATACCAGCGCTGTCCAATAGTACTTTCTGTAATGATAAAAGTATTCTGTTTCTGTGCTGTGCAATATGATCACTACTAGCCACACATGGCTAATGATCACTTGAAATGGGGCTACTGTGATCAGTAAACTGAATTTTACCTTTGTTTAATTGTAGTTAATTATAATCTAAATAACTACATTTGACTATTGGCTACTATATTAGACAGTGCAGTTCTATACTAAATAAAAGGAGAGGGGCGAAAACCTCTAAGCAGTTTGAGAAGAGTTTGGTAAAATGTTAATATACAGAGAGAAAGCCTTCCAGATATAACCTCTATACATTGTAATGACATATTTTAGTCGTTAAGGAATTTGACAGATTCTGGCCTTGTGTTCCTGCATCAATTAGCTTCTGATATTTCATATCTAAAATATATGTATCTGTAGCTGAAATGGTATTTCTGTATGCATGTCCACTCCAATCAATAGAGATATTTGTTTCCATTGTTTCTAGAGAATTATAGTTAAAAATTGAGGGCTGTGGAAGTCCTTGTGAATGTTAAATTAGAATTGTACTTCAGTGGCTCATTTGGCAGATTGGGAATATTTATAGAATTGCTAGATGGATCAAAACTGCAGTTTTATATTGGTCTTTGGTAAGGAAGTTATATTGGCAACAAGCTGTAATAGAAGTACAGTGATTTATATTATGTTGTGCGCAACTTCCTCTTCAGAGGGAAAGGAACAGAGTAAAAATTTACAGGATTTTTGAGCTGGAAGGAACTTCCGAGGCAAGTCTCATCATTTAATAGATAGGGAAACTTATCTATATATTATATACATGATATACACATGTATGATAGGCATACATACGTATAACTTACATGCGTATATGTGTATACACATATATATATATCGAATTGCCAGTATATATGTATCTAATGCCAGTATATATATTAAATATAGTTGAATTGCCAGTTAATGACAAAGCTGAGACTAAAATTTGGGTCTTTTAACTCCCAGTCCTTGCTTTTTCCTGTATGCTGCACTTCTCTTTGTATCCAGATACTTCTTTAGATGTATAGAAGACAAATTATGTTCTTTAAAATACAACTGTGTTACATAAACATCAGTGGCTTATAAGGCAAATATTGTTTTTCTCAATAGTTGAGTTATATAGGCTTTCATTTGTTTCAAATTGAGGTGTTGAGTTTTTCATAATAATAGATGATCAGGATTGTGTATGGACTGATGTTTTAAAAAGAACATATTTTATAAGCCATATGTTTAGTCTACTTTGATATTTCTTGCAAAAATTTCTTAGGGAAAATACTCAGAGTTCATGTAATGTGATTTTTGGAAAAATAAAATGTATTTTAAGCATTGTAACTAATTACAGCTCTGTTTCTTTTAGATTCCTGCCAGAAACCATATATTGCACTTATTCATGGAATTACAATGGGTGGGGTAAGTAGACTGTTTACTCTTATCATTGTTATGTGAGCTATATTAAAAATAAGTTAATTATTAAACAGAAGTGAGACAATGAATGTAATACAATAGAAGTTGAAACAAATCATGTTTGGAGCTTTGCAGGTTTGGGATATAATATTTGCTTAACCCCCAAAAATACGTTCTTAATTATGTTCTATGCTATTTCAGCTTCTTGAATTAGTAAGCTTTCTTAACTAACAAAATTGATTCTTTTTTTTCTTATGTAGAGCCCTTTTTCTACTTAAAACAGATTGTAAGTAAACAGATTGCTTTTAACAGCTTCAGAAAAGAAACTGGAATGTTGAGGGTTTTTTAGACTCTGAATAGTGGAGATGTGGTTCCTAAGTTATATCTACTGCACAAAATCTCAGCTTAGTGAAAGTGTTTGGATACTTTTTGAAGTTCTCTGAAAGTGCATTTCTGTCAGTTGACAAGTCTTTGTAATAGCACAGATGCAAAATAAATAAATCTTAGATTTCACTGGCTTTGAATAATTTGATAGGGAGTTGGAGAGAACATGAAATAATTACAGAAAAAGTGTTCCAATGTGTGGCACTGGCTACAACAAAGACAACCTTTAAAGAAGTGAGAGGTCAGAATAGGTCTTCATGGCAGGAAGAGGTAGGATTGAAGAAGGTAGTAGGAAGCTGAAGGGTGGAATTTCAAAGATTGAACTTGTTAAGTATTTCAAACATTTAGTCATTGGGAGATGTCCCCCTCTTTCTAGGAAAACCACACACTAGATGAAGTCTCTTGGGCACTTGGAATTGCTTAGATCTTTCTTTTTGAGTTTGTTTTATTGAAGTATAGTTGATTTACAATATTGTGTTAATTTCTGCTGTACAGCGAAGTGATTCAGTTATACATATATATATTCTTTTTCATATTCTTTTCCCTTACGGTTTGTGACATGATATTGAATACAGTTCCCTGTGCTATACAGTAGGACCTTGTTGTTTATCCATTCTGCACATAATAGTTTGCATCTGTTAATCCCACACATCCTATCCCTCAGAACTGCTTAGATCCTGCACATCATTTTGGGAAAGGGCTTCCATTAGCACCTGTGGCTAGGAGCAGGCTCAAGGGCAGTCTGTACCTCTCAGCTTGTGGCAGGTACTGAGTGTGAGTTGATTGTGCTTTCTTTGTCATTGAAGTGCTAAGATGGGAAAAATAAGAGCTCCCTGAAAAAATTCTGCGGAGCAAAAGGAAGGAACATAATCTGAAGCTTTGAAGAAGGAGCCCCCGTGAATGTGAAAGGAACCAGAAAAAATGAAAACAAACAGAAAAACATTGGGCATACTTAACATGTAAAATGATGTGGCTCCAATGAAATAGGAAAGACAGCCCATAAGCAGACAACAAGCTTAGGTGAAAGGGCAGCAGATTACAAGGGGGAACAGGCAACATAGGAAGGATGACTGGAAACTAAAATGCAATAGCAGAACCTGACATTCCACTTTGAAGGTCATAGATAAGAAGGAGTTAAATTTCATATTACAGTTAATGAACTTGTGTCTTTGGAGGACAAACTTGAGAAGCTCTCACCAAGAAAGGACAAGGATAAAAATGATGAGAACAAACATTAGTCAAACTCTAAGGGTGGAGCCCAGTAGTATGTGTTTTAATAAATCCTCCAAGTGATTGAGTCATGTTAAGTGGGAACTAGTGCCCAAGACATTGATTGTATGTAATGAATTAACTGCATTCATATTTCTGCCCTGTAATTCTAGAATGGTACCAGTTATATACCGTGCTTGGAAAAACTGAGAAAATAGTTAAGTCTTTTGCAGTGATCTCTGGTTCAGATGACGAGCCCCTCAATGAGAAAGGTTCTTTTATATTACATATTGTCAGCCCTGCCTCTAAAAAAAAAAAACAACAAACCTATGTGTCTTTTCTTCTATCAGGTCTGCCACCTACAACTCCCCGTATGTACTGTACATCTAATTCATCTTTAAAGACCGAAAGTTCTACCCTGTATATATATATATATATATTTTTTTTTTTTTTTTTTTGCGGTACTCGGGCCTCTCACTGTTGTGGCCTCTCCCGTTGCGGAGCACAGGCTCCGGACGCGCAGGCTCAGCGGCCGTGGCTCAAGGCCCCAGCCGCCCCGCGGCATGTGGGATCCTCCCGGACCGGGGCACGAACCCGTGTCCCCTGCATCGGCAGGTGGACTCTCAACCACTGCGCCACCAGGGAAGCCCTTACCCTATCTTAAATACCACTATGATTAGATGTGATTTTTTTCCTTCATTGACTCAGTGCATTCAATCTTTACTCCAAATTTGGCATTTATTCTTTATTGTCAGTTATTATGAAATATGCCCAAGTATATTAGATGGTCTATAAAGGTGAGGACTACTTTTTTTTTAGCATGCTCATAACAACTAGGGAATGCACAGTATATATTTAATAAATTGTTTATTTAAAAAATTCTGCTTTAAAAAACATCTTTGTAGCCTTTGAAGGAGTAAAATTTACAGACTGGAAGTGAATCAGTTCTTTTTTCTTGTAATAGGATTTTATATGTATCTTGGTTTTGAAGACTAACTTTTCATGTCTCATTTACAAAAGTTGCTTAATATAAGACTCAGTGAACTCTAGCTTTTGAAAATGTAATCCTCTAGATCTTTGGCTCTCAACCTTGGCTGCATTTTCAAATCACTTGAGAGTCTTTCAGAAATCCTGGTGCCCAGGCTTTACTTACCTCCCGAACCATTAATCACATATTAGAGCAGGACTCGGGTATTTTTAAAGCTCCCTTGTAATCCCAATGTGAAACTAAGGTTAGGAACTGCTGAACTACTAGCGATTCCCAATGAGTGTATAGTTCAGTGTTAGCTGTGGACCTTTTTCAAAAAGGCAGTGGTTCTCACAGGTTAGCTCATATCAAAATCCAAGGGCTGGAAGGCAGTGGTTCTCACAGGTTAGTTTGTATCAGAATCCAAGAGCTTGTTAAAAGGCAGACTCCGGACTTCCCTGGTGGTGCAGTGGTTAAGAATCCGCTTGCTGATGCTGGGGACACGGGTTCGATCCCTGGTCCGGGAAGATCCCACATGCCGCAGAGCAGCTAAGCACGTGCACCACAACTATGGAGCCTGCGCTCTAGAGCCCACGTGCTGCAACTACTGAAGGCTGTGCGGCTAGAGCCCATGCTCCACAACAAGAGAAGACACTTCAATGAGAACCCCGCACACCACAATGAAGAGTAGCTCTCGTTCACCGCAACTAGAGAAAGCCCACACGCAGCAACAAAGACCGAACACAGCCAAAAATAAAATATAATAAAAAAATAAATAAATAAAGATGGACTTAAAAAAAAAAAAGGCTGACTCCTCTCATCCCCCCAGTTCCAGTTTAGTCAGTTTGAAGTGTGGCCTAAGAGTTTGCATTTCTAAAAGTTCCCAGATGATGTTGATGATGCTCGTGATAGTGGGGGTGCCTCACTTTAGGAACCATTGCCATAAAGTGTTGAGAACATGCAGTTTGTTAATTCAAAAGGCCTTTATTTTCAGAATTTTTAGTAGAATTTTAGTATTATAGGTAATTGTTTTATGGGTATCGTTTTAAATCCTGATATAAAAGTATGAGACTAAGATAGGGCAAATATAGCTTACGAAAAGGTAGCCAAATAAGTTTTGTCTTTGTCTTTATCTTGATTCTGATCAATGAATTGTTTCTTATAAGAAAGAATTATAAGAAAACTTGAACAATCCAAAAGATGGCGCCATAGAGCTTGATTTTTATTTAATTTTATTTTTTCTTTTTTACTATAGAAAAAAATATTTTTCCAGCAATGAAAATGACAGTTTTACTGTCTCTTGTTGTTTACCGTGAAGAGTAACACAGCACTTTGTAGAGGGGATAACTAAATTCTGTTATGTTTCAGATTTCAGAAATTCAAATGTTTACTTGATATTTTGGTATACAGTAAAATAAAAATGTTTCTGAGTGGTTCTCCACTTGGTTAATTGAAAGTATGTAAGATTATGTCATTACAGTGTTTTTGAAAGAGAAGAAAAATTTTTTGAATAGCAATTTGAAAGAATAATTCATTGTTTCCTAAAAAGGAAGAATTTTAATTTCCTTTACCCTTTATTTTAAAAATCTAGTCATATTTTCTCAAGTTAATATATAATGGAAAGGCAGATTTGCTTTAAAAGTTAAAATTAATTTTAAGTAGATATAGAACAGAAAAAATTCTTACATTTATTCTGTATGTGTAGTACTGCCTACATTTCCCTCCCAACTGAATTGGATTTAAAAAACTTTTACGTTTCTTTCCTTTTCCTTCTTCCCTTTCTTTGTCCCTTCCTCTCTCCCTTCCTCCCTTTTCTCTTCCCACCAATGCATTTTACAGTAGAAACAAAATTAGCTCCCCAAAGCCAACTCAAAATACGTTTACAGTGTGGTATTGTTTTTGTGTTTCTCAAAGTGTCCTAAAGATGCTGCAAGCAAAAGGGTTTTGTGATCAATATAATGGAAAATTAAAAGTTTTAAGGCATACTTTAGAAGGGGTATACTCTAATGAATAGAGAAGGAGTGGGAACTGGATTGGAAACAGTGAGCATATACAATCTCCAAAAGACTTTTTGGGATACAAACCAGCCACGTGGAAAACTGACTAGTGCTCAGTTAAATGGGAGCTACTGAATCAGATTGAGTTTAGCCACAATTAATGTCACTGAGACATGTTCTTATGAGAAGAATTACTACAAAATGATGTAGTATTTGCATATAACCTATGCATATCCTCCTATATACTTTAAATCATCTCTAGATTACTTATACAGTGTAAATGCTGTGAAAGTACAATGTAAATAGTTGCTGTTGCACAGCAAAATTCAAATCTTGCTTTTCAGAACTTTCTGGAGTTTTTTTCTCAATATTTTGAATTCACAGTTGGTTAAATCTGCGGGTATGGAGGGCTGAGTGTATTTTGGATATTAACCCCTGATCAGTTATAT